CCAGTGTCCCCTTATTCCAGTGTCCCCGTATAGCAGTGTCCCCTCATTGCATCGAATGACCTTGTATTGTGACCTCTCCTTGCAGTGTCCCCTCACTGTGAAAGTTCCCTTATTGTGAGTGTCCCCTCATTGCAGTGTCCCTTCCTTGTGAGTGTCCCCTCATGGAAAATGTCCCCTTATTGCAGTGTCCTGTTATGCTAATGTCCCTTCATTGCAGTGTCCCCTTATTGCTGTGTCCCCCCCACTGCTGGTCCTCTTATCCCACTGTCCTCTTCGTGCTGTGTCCTTTTATTGTGACACATAGCAGTGTCACTTTACTGTGAGTGTGCCCCCATTGCTGTGTCCTCTCACCCACTGTCCTCATGTCCCTGGATGGTGGGTGTCCCCTGACCACCCTGTCCCCACAGCCTTCGTCGTGGCCTACCTGATTTACTCGTGGGGGACGCAGGAGTTCGAGCGGCTGAAGAGGAAGAACCCTGCTGACTATGAGCACGACCAGTGACACGTGGCTGCAGCCACTTCCCTCTCACCGACCTGCTGGGCTTGTTCCCCTGCCTGGAGGGGATTAAGAGGGAGATAAGTCTTGTCTAATAAACTGCAACTTTGCCCTGTGAGTCTGTGTGAAATGCGTGTCTTGAGCTGGTTGAGGTGAGGAGCATCAAATCCCTCGTCTGGTTCTCTGTGTACAGGCAGATAACCAGGCTGAGTTCCCTGTGCTCGGATGTTTTCGTCTTAGGGCACTTCCAGCCTTTGTCATTCCTGTTCCTTTGAAACATTCCTCAGTGAAAAGCTCGGTGAGGGTTGGTCCGGTGTTCCGTTTGTTTTCCCAGCACTGGCAGCTGCTCTTCCTCCAGCCTTGAGATCTGTGAAAAGCAAACACTCCCTGATGTGGCATCGATTAAAGCTGGAAGAGCTGGTCCAGGGCTTGGGATTGGGGATGGACCCTGCCCTCTGGCCAGAGGCTCAGTCCCCACAGGAGCCCTGGGCAGAGGATGGGGGGAACAGGAACAAGCTGCACCGAGAAGGTTCCATCCCCGTGGAACAAAGGAATTGTTCCCAGAGGGAACAGTCAGTGCCTGGAACACCTGCCAGGGCTGGGGTGAGCTGGGGGGTTCGGGAGGTGGCTGGACAGGGTGCCAGGTCACCTCAGCTGGGCTCCCTTCCCACAAACAACTGATCTCTCAAGGTCCCTTCCAACCTGAGCTGTTCTCTGGTCCTGTGATCCTAATTACCTCGTTATATTCATGTTGATTGGGTGATTACACTCTTAATATCTGACCAGTTAATAGGCTGTATTAGAACCTCTTGAAATCTACTGGGAGGAACACACTGTTCAATGCCTGAAGATGATTAAAAACCAACTGCTAGTGGTAACGTCACTTAAATATGTGACAGGTTCACCCCGTGGCTCTGAGGATAGAGACAAGCTCCACTGTTTGAAGCCCAGAACTAGTCCCTTCATCCCCATTTTTTCCATCCAGTGTCCACTGAGTGCCTCGAGCTCTCCCCACGCAGAGCCACGCACTGCTCTCCTGCTGATCTGGGAGTTATCTTATCTGCAGGGCAGCAGTGACGTCTCCCTCTGTGAGCTCCTCCATGTGCTCAGGGCTGGGCTGTGTGCAAGGCAAAGATGCTCAGGCTCTCACTGCAGGAAGTTGGGGGGATGCAGTTTTTACAGCTCAGTGCTTGAGTGTTTTGGGGCTTAACATGTGTTTAAAAAGCACACGAGACTCAGCTCAGGCTCTTGTGTTTCCTCCAAGCACAGCCTGAGGCTGGAATAAACAGCAGTAAAACCACTCAGCCAGTGCTGCAGGTCGTGCCAGAAATATTCTGTGCTTAGATTTACCTGCATTTTGGATCACTGGTGTTTTCTAAGCAGCCTAAGCAAACAGAGAGCAACAAACACTACTGTGGTTGTGAGAGCTGCAGAGGTGTCTCGAGGCACATGGAATGACAGACTGGTTTGGGTTGGAAGGACCTTAAAGCTCACCCGGTCCCAACCCCTGCCGTGGGCAGGAACACCTTCCACTAGCCCAGGTTGCTCCAAGCCCTGTCCAGCCTGGCCTGGAACACTCCCAGGGATGGATCAGCCACAGCTGCTCTGGGCAACCTGTGCCAGGTGTCTCAGCACCTCACAGGGAAGGATTCCTTCCCAATATCCTATCTGCCTGGCAGTTTAAAACCATCCCTCCTTGTCCTGTGACTGCCTGTATAAAAAGTCCCTTTCCCTCCTTTTTATAAACCCTTTAGGCACTGGAAGGAAACACTTGGTTCAGAGCACTGTGTCCTGCTCATTAAGGCCCAGCAGCAGTGACTGCCGCCGCCAGCCGCTGTGCCATCCCACAGGGGCAGCACTTGGTTTGCAGGGCACTGAGCAGCTGTGGGGCAGCTTCCAGGAGGTCCCTGCCCCTGGCAGACAGCTGACCCGTGCCTGAACCAGGCTCCAGACCAAGGCAAACAGCAGGGCACCTTCCCCTGGCCGTGACCCGCGGCCCTGCGGGCTTGGCCCGGGCAGGGCACTCCAGGGCTGCAGCCTGGGGCTCTGCACCTGCACCACGGGCTGCTGCTGCCCTGCAGCCACCCTGAGACCCTGACCAGTGTCCTCTGACCCTGCCAGGCCACCCTTGCCTCAGAGACAGCTCCGTTCCCAGTGGGATGGACCCGTGGAACGGGGAGTTTGGCCTGTGGGTACTTCAGAGTCTGAACAAAGTGCATGAAAATCCTTCAGTCGTTTATTTCTGTTCTCCCTTTGGTAACTACTAGAAGTGGCAGCAGAGCAGTATTTTGTGTCTCATTTCTCACATCTCTGCTGTGGGATCTTCCTCCCCTCCTGGACTTGTGGCATGGAAACAACTGCCTCAATTTACTCTGTTTTTGCCAGTTTCCCACCCACAGCAAACCTCTTGCTGCCCGACAGGGACATGCTGATGCTACTAGTGACCCAGAAGGACACAGAACCATTTTGATGTACCATCACAATTCCCAGTCTCATCGAGCCAAAAGAGCTGAGAGAGGATGACTTAGAGAGGGCTCTGTGCCAAAGAGCTGTTCCTGTGCTCCACGGATGAAGCCAAGGCTCCTGCTGCTGCCTCTGTCCTCCCTTTTCTGTCCTACATTAGTGCCTAGTGGAAACAGCAGAAATGAGAACTCAGATGCACGAAAAGGAAGGACTTCATGGGAAAAGCAATTCCCAGCCAAACGTAAACCAAACTTTTAAGCTCATCCATTCTGATGTGCCATGATTTACTGTCCCATTTCCTTCCCTTCCTAAGATCCAGGAAGGTGAAATAATAAAAAACTTTGATTCCCCCTTCCATGGAAGCGAGACAAACAGGGCAGAGGAAGGAGTGGAAGAACCACCCTCGGAAGAAACATTGCAGTTGTGGTTGTAGACAATATGCTGGGAAGGGTTTTGCTTTAATCCCAGTGAAATTTGGGCTAAGGGGTAATGATCTGACAACATGGCATTATCTCAGTCTGTCACTTGCCTCCACGCTGGCACTTGTGCCTTCACATTAAGCAATCACAGAAACAGAGGCTGTGACATCCAGATCTGGGTTGGCAATTTAGCTGAAAGATAGTTCAGTGCTTTATACAGATCTCCTGCTTGAAACAACTTAAACCATAATGTGTTCCAAAACCTGCACACTGCCACAAATCAGTTCTCTTTATGTCACTCTGCAATCTCCAGTGTCTTGACCCGACAGATCTGGGGCACGTGGGACAGATGTGGGAGCAAGATAGACCCACAGACTGGTCTGGGTTGAAAGGACCTCAAAGCCCATCCAGTCCCACCCCTGCCATGGACAGGGACACCTTCCACTAGCCCAAGGTGCTCCAAGGTCCAACAAGGCACACAAGATCTCACAGATGAGGAGACACAAGGCACAAACCTTGGGACAAGTGGGAGAAGTGTGGGAGCAGAGGATGACAGAGGAGGTGAGATGTAACAGCTCCTCTCACACACTCTTTTCTCCAGGCTGCTGCAATCTCATGTCACAGTAAGATTCCTCTTACTGCCCAACAGCCCATCCACATCCACAGGAGCTGCTGGCACTGTTTGGGCACCTGATGGTGATGTGGCACAGACTGGGGCAGGGGCAGCTCAGTCTCTCCCCAAGAAGCACCTCAGCTCCAGACAACTGTTGAGCAGAAATCTTTAATGGCACAGTAGGATTCCTGGGAGAAGAACTCCATGAGGTATCACGTCTTCACATTCCCAAACCCATCTGCAAAGTGTTAAACCTGCTTCTTGTGTGCTGTGTGTGTGTGGAAAGGAAGGTTAAGCAACTTCCTTATGGTTCTTTCATGCACCAGCATGATCGAACGCTCAGCGAGACACCCCTTAGCCCTGGCTGGCAGACTCAGCTCTGCACACCCTGGGGGTGGCACAGAATAGGGTTATGGCTCTTGATCTTGACCATAATAACTTGGGCCAACCCTCCTTAGCTTGCAAACAGACACCATGGGGTCCTGGCAACATGCTGGGTGGGCTTTGCAAAAAGGAGCAGCTGGCACAAGGGGTAAGCTGAGCAGACAAAGTACAGGTGGAAGGGGAGTAAATGATTAGCCCAAGAGACAGGCCTTGAACCAGATCACTGCAGAGATGCAGACTTAGTAATTCCCTCTTGCTCCAAAGTGAACTTTGTTCCTGTAATAACTGGCAGCTGATGCAACGATAAGAGAATGAAGTCTATAAAAATCTAGCTGAGAGCCTGGGAAGTCCTGCCTGGAGCTCGTCCTCCTCCTCCTCCGCCCACGGCTGGCCCCAGTGACAGCTCACGCCGGGAAGATGTGCTGGTGGAAAGTGATGGCAGCCCTTTTGCTCTGCTCACTGCTGCTCAGCCAGGTAAAGAGATGACTCTTGAAAATCAGCTACTGCAAATAAACCACTTAAATTACTAACTGCAATGACAGCTGGCTAATAGAAGGTGTTGATTGGGATGGATAACTGGCAGGAGCTGGAGGTGACAGCAGAGCTCTTGTAGAGGACTCAGCATCATCCAAATGTAGAGTAACTGCCTAATGGGCTCCCCTGAGCCCTAACTCAGCAATGAGTCTGCCTTCCCTCCCGAGATGATTAAAAATCATAGTTAATTCTTGTGCTTACTCCTTTGGGGTCAGGCTATAAGCAATACTTTAACAGAGCATGCTATGATCTGAAACCCAAGCAGATTTCAGCTGCTTCACTTCAAACTGAGACTATAGCCTCAGAGCAAGCCATGCTGCAGCTGCTGTGCCCTGGCAGTCACTCCCTGACTCTGTTTCAGACCCAGGGCATGCCCCAGCCCCAGCCCCAGCCCAGGCTCGCCAGGCAGCGGAGGATGACACCCTTCTGGAGAGGAGTGTCCCTGAGACCCATCGGAGCCTCCTGCAGGGACAACAGCGAGTGCATCACGATGCTCTGCAGGTAACAGCCTGGGCAGTACTCAGCATTCCAGGATGGAGAGGAAGTTCCCACTTGGGCTCATCCAGACTAGATCAGATCCAGAGTTCACTTTGTGCTTAAAAAAGATACCAGGAATAGGGATGGGGCAAGAGCCTCAGACCTCTTTGGTAAGCAGTGCAAACAGAGCAGAGTCCACATGCCCTGGCCTGCCAGCCCCAGTCCTTTCACTGCAGCCCCAGACAACCCTGGGCTCTGCACGAGGGAGCAGAGGGCTCCACACAGCCTCTGGGCCTCAAAATCAGTCCTTCCCACAGCCACTGCTGCTCACTTTAAAGCATGTAATAATTAATATCTTACCCTAAATTAATCACCTTAAGGTTACTGTTTAAGCTCATAGACAACTACAGTATCAAAAGCTATTTAGTTCTCACTAGACATGAGTAATTGTCCAACTATATAAGGTTAAATTGACTAGTTAGATTTCCTACTTAGTGACTGGAAGGTGATTCTGTGTGACCTCTGCTGCACACAATGCAGAGACACAGAACATAGGAGAATGTGGCTCTATGTAAACAGCAGAAATAGGATGTCATAGTATCAGTGTTATAAATAAGATTATCTTAGACTATATTCCAAACGAACAGGGGAAGCAGATGGACAGGGTGGTTGGGGTGCTCTGCTGCCTGTGTTCCAAAGGCACCAGTGGATTCTGACTCACCAGGGAAGCTGCAGCAGCAGCCACAGAAGGCACAGCCAGGACAGGATTGTGGACTAGTTCCACACTGTGCCTGACCCACAGCCCTGGCAGCACATTCTGTGCACAGCAATGACACCTTGGAGTTACCAGGCAAAGCAAGGAACAAAAGTGGGATCGGGATGAGGAGGTGCACAGTGTGCAGAGCTCCCTGAGCTAGTCCCAGCACTGCTGTAGCCCCTGGGGGAGAGGAGCTGTGCCCAGGATGGCCCTGGGGTGTCTATCTGAGCCTCACAGAGCCAGTCCCAGCTCTCAGTGCCTCGTGGTGTTTGCTTTGCAGGAGGAATCGCTGCTTGCTCAGCGCAGCCTCGGCGTGAGCTCCACCACCACCAAACCACCACCACCACCAAACCACCACCACTGTTACTGCTGATGCTGCCTCACACCCCTGGGACATATTTATTGCCCTGCAGAGCTGAGCCAGGCACTCGGGCAACCTCTGGATTTAATATTTCTGCCACACGTGCTGATAAAAGGACTTCAAAGAGCTCGAGCGCGTCTCCCACCGTGGCCTCAGGATGCCTCTGGCCAAGCTCAATAAAGAGCTCTGCATCTCCTCTTGGTTTGTTTTTTTTGTAACGGTTCCTGTTATTTATTTGAAGGTGTGCATTAAAGTCTATGTTCAGCAAACCACCTTGGCTCTCCTTGTGTCCTGTGAGCAGAGTGGACGGACAGGGCAGAGCTGGTGCTCGATCCCAGCTGGACTTTAGACGTTTGTCCTTGCCCTGGCACGGGTGTAAAGTGGATCAGTCTCCAGCTGCTCTCAGTGCCACAGCTGAACTCTTATCGGGGCTCAGATAAAGGCTGTTAGAACGAGGGAGCCAAACTGATAATACTGATAGCATTTTCATATCCCAAATATATCCAGCGATAACTGACAACTATTTAAATGACTTCTAACCAAATTTACTTAAAGACATGTCCCAGACTGACTTTTGCCACTGACCTCAGCTCCTATTTAAGGCAGATTGATCAGGATGCTGTTTGGATCTGCTGCACGTTAACTCCCAGGGCTGCAAGACAAAACAAAGCACTTTGGAGTAACACACACACACTGGAGGCTGTTTTCTTTTTCTCACAGAGCACTAGGATGAAAAAGAGACAATTCTGCCCCAAAATGCAGTTTCCACCCACAAAACACGAGCACAGGGGGGAAGTTAATACAGAAAATCTATTTGATATTTATTAAACTTAGTTTCTCCAGTTACAGTTTTGCATTGTACAAAGCATTTAATGACACAGTAGTTAAAAAGATCTTTACAAATTGAAATGTGATACCCTTTTCTCCAAATATTTTAATTGCCATAAATTTGTTTAAAAATACACATTAAACGCATGTTTCAGACACTAAACTTTCTATAATCTCAATACCACAAAATACATAGAATATACTATACAGATGTGGAAAAAATCTAGTTAGTATATAATACTTTGCTCACCATTAACAGCTTTATTACGTGAAATGCACATACTGACTTAGAAATCCTAATTTTGAGCCCCAAAGTACCCTTTGAAATTTCAAATGTATTGCAACAAATAAAATCACAGTTTGTTTATCTTCTGGTTTGTTTTTTTTTTTCAGGTTTTGGTTGAAGACAGATGCCCAAATCTCTTGCTAAAAAACAGAATGTAACACATGGACTTGTCGTGTACAAAGCATAAAACAGAGACATCCCATCAGTTACTAGCAGTACCTTCCTGTGGGATTGATCAGGGCCTCAGTTATCAGTGACAGGATAAGAGTTACCTCCCCCCCTCCCCCCAAAGAAAACCCTCCTCACCAAATAATAATTTCACATAAGATAAAGGATTTTTAATAAATATATAAGCACTTTATCCTCCATATACAAAATTTTTTTAAAACAATTTAAAAGGGGGACCAGATACAAATGTCAGGAACTGTGCTTGAAAAGTCATGCCTGGTCCTTAGAGTTGTGTGGGAAGAGAATGCCAGTGCAGCCCCAGGGAGCTCACTGGGAACGGGCACAACGCCACGGCGTGTCCAGGTGGGACTGCAACTGCCCACAGGGGGCTGAGGGACACTGGGCTGAGCGGGCACAGCTGCCCCAGCTGGAGGGTGACCCACTCTAAAGGGAGCTGCCCCAGCTGGAGAGTTACCTGCTCTAAGGGTGACCCTTTCCAAGGGGAGCTGCCCCAGCTGGAGGGTGACCCACTCCAAGGGTGACCCTCTCCAAGGGGAGCTGCCCCAGCTGGGGGGTGACCCACTCCAAGGGTGACCCACTCCAAGGGGAGCTGCCCCAGCTGGAGCGTAATCTGCTCCAAGAGGAACTCTCCCAGCTGGAGGGTGCCCTGCTCCAAGGGTGCCCTGCTCCAAGCTCAGCCCAGCTCTGCCATGCTCACCCCAAGAGCAGCTCCTGAGGGCACAGCTGTCCCTTCTCTCCCTGCCTCCTCCTTCCCCAAACAGCACCACAGACCAAGTCCTCAAACAATAACAGTTGGACACATCATGATTCCTCACTGTCCATTCCAACCCCTCAACATACTACAAAACTATGAGTTTAGGGAACTTCCCTGCTTGGGAAACCTCTCCTGGAATAGCTCTGGATGTGTGCGAGTTGGCAAGCGAAAGCTTTGGCTCCTCTCTCTGGGATGTCTAGCACTGATGCTGGTGCCTGGAAACATTGAGTTTGCCAGAACACTGACACACCAGGGGGAGAAACTGCAACCCTGACCGATGAGTCTGTCGAAAAGGTAAGAATTTTAAAGTTGTTTACTCCCCAATGGGTAATTCAAACTTGACTTGCTCAGGCCCTTGTGGATCTGCCTCAATGCAAACACTGCAGTGACAGCAAAGATCTGCTCAGAAAATTACATTAAATACAGCAAAGGTAGTTCCTCTCTCTTTCCAGCAGTTTGCCATCTGGGCAAACCCTGTAATTCTCTGCCTTCGGCTTTATTTTACTTGCCCCAGGCAAGTGCTACATCATTCCCATAAGTCCTGACTCCGTGTTGGGGCCGTTCATAAATACATCTCAGGGCATTTTCTGTTACCACAGCAATCAAGCCTCAGCAATCTAAAGGAATATACATTGCACTCCTGGATAATATGCAATATTTATCACCAATAAGATGGTGACTCAGCACTCAATAAATAATATATCAATATAGTCAGTTGCACCATAATCTAAAAACAAGTATAACATATACTTTGGACAGACTGAGTCATATATATACACATATATTAAAAGACACACACGATACAAATTGCATACTGCCACCGAGAGCCAGGGAGAGCTGCCCGGACGCTCTGCTGGATGGCTCAGAGACTCCAACCAAAACAGAACTCTCCTGCTTTAACTCTGGTGTCCTGAACATCTGCTTGGAATTATCAATGGGTTGCACCTTATCACCTGGAACCTGCGAGTCTCAGAGCAAAGTCAAACAGCACAGATAGCTGAGCAAGCCTAGTCTGATTGAGCCATTTGTAAGATTCACCAACTGGGACCACGGTCAGTGAGGGAACCAGCACTGCAGCTGATATGTATCCACGCAGCTGTCCAGGGGATCCCTGGGGAAGCCAGGAGCAGGGAGTCCCTCCCCAGGCACTGCTGGGAAGGTGCTGGTGCTCGGGGCCCTGCGCTCCCACCGCGGCGCTGGGAGGTGCGGGAGGGCAGGCGCAGACTCACCGGCACTGCGGCAGAGGATGGGAGGGATGGACTTGCTTTGCTTTTTGGCTAGGAAATCTGACAAAGTACATCACTTTCCTCTCGGAAACAACAGTAAATCCCAAAGTGAGATATGCTCTTGGAATGGTGAAGGTTAGACTGATCTGTTTTGCAACAGCCCCAGATGCATAAGGCATTTCTTACCAGCTCCCAAGCCACAGACAGAGCCCCTGGGACAGCACTCCAGAAACATCCCCTGGGGACTACCCTGTCCAGGGGGGGACACTTCCAACCAGCTCAGGTCCACACTTTGACATGATGCAAAAAAAAACCAAAAAACCACCTCCTCTGGTTGTTCAAAGACAATTTACAAATCCACTGCTTTAGGGCTAAACGATGCGCTTTTGAAGGGACCAATTTCACGTGACACCAAAAGGTATTTGTGGGACTCTATACCTGGGGACTACCCTGTCCAGGGGGGGACACTTCCAACCAGCTCAGGTCCACACTTTGACATGATGCAAAAAAAAACCAAAAAACCACCTCCTCTGGTTGTTCAAAGACAATTTACAAATCCACTGCTTTAGGGCTAAACGATGCGCTTTTGAAGGGACCAATTTCACGTGACACCAAAAGGTATTTGTGGGACTCTATAGATAAGGAAATTCCCAG